GGCTTTATTTATTTCCAGGCTTTTTTTTTTAATTTTTTTTATTTAAGGCAATTTCTTGTAAACCATATATGTATGTATATATATAAATTGCTCTTATGCATGGCTATATAAATATATGTAGTATATATAATATAGAAATCTAATTATTAAAGTGTTTGACGTAAAAGTAAAATAACAAAACAATAGTAAAACTAAATTGGCATGCATAATAAATTAATAACAAAGTACAATATGAAGCATAAATACGTCTAATAATTTTAAAATAACACAAATTGCTGAAAAATCTTAAAGACGAATTTGCGGATAAATATCCTCAACACAATACTTTATATGCCTCCTTAAAATGCCCGTGGTACACCCTGAACGAAAATTTAAGACTCTTCCACAGTTCTTGCACTTTAATATTTGGCCTTCTTCATTTTCTTCAAGCACTTCATAGTATTGCGAAACAAATAAGCGCACTCTTTCCGAACGAGGCATGATTTAACTTGAAAATTGAGATTGAGACTTGAAGTCTTGAAAATTGGAGATTGAGAGATTGAGAGAAATTTAGATTGAGAAATGAGTATTGAGTATTGAAATGAAGAAGAGGGAGGGGGGTACTTATAGTGTTGGAGAAGGTTAGTTTTGTAAATTGAAAAAAAAACGGCTATTTGTGCAATTAATATGACCGTTGGTGGTCATTGGGGGTGGGGCCCTCATTTTGAAAAATCTTGTTTTGTAGTATATATAGTACTACTTCTTCATGTATATATAATATATATAGTATACTAGTATAATATACTATATATAGTATGTTATGCATATATATTCCCTTATATATTTTCTTGTAGTATATATTGTATGTTATGTATATATATTATCTTATAGTATATATTGTATGTTATGTATATACACTCCCTTATATAATTTGTTGTAGTATATATTGTATGTTATGTATATATATTCCCTTATATGTTTTCTTGTAGTATATATTGTATGTTATGTATATATATTCCCTTATATATTTTCTTGTAGTATATATTGTATGTTATGTATATATATTCCCTTATATATTTTCTTGTAGTATATATTGTATGTTATGTATATATATTATAGCTTATAAATAATTGCAAGTTAAAGACAAAAAAATATTGCAAAGAGATATTCAAGGGCATGTCTTATAATTTTTATTACCAAAAATG